TTTTTAGTTTAAAAAGAAATAAAAGAAAATGCCAAAAAAATAAAAAAAAAATAAGTTTCCCATGTGATATGTGGTCTAGTTATTGGGAAAATTTGCAAAAGTGAATTTTGACTTTATTTGCAAAATCTCTCTAGAATTTAGTAAAATGGGCATAACTTTTGCATACTGACTCGGATGAAAAAGTTTTTTATATGAAAAATCATCTACTCGAAAAGTTACATCCAAATTTAATTGGGGGAACCCCGTTAAACGTTTTCAAAATCCTCAAAAACCTAACAGAAAAAAGTTATGGGGCTTTTAAGATCTAGAGTGGAAAAAATCGAAAAAATTTCAAACTATGATCAAACTATGGTCAAACAATGGTCAAACTAATTATTCTAGAATATTAGTGTTACTAAATAATTATTTCAGTTATTTTGAATTTTGGTCAAATCTGGTCAAACTATGGTCAAACTGTGGTCAAACAATGGTCAAACTAATTATTCAAGAAACATTAGTGTTACTAAGTAATTATTGTTTTTTAAAACAATAGTTTCAAACTCAAACAGTGAAATGTGTCACTTCATGCTCACGCAAAATTCCTGAGGGTTAATAGGATTGGCATCTTACTATTGTCAGGAAAACAACAAGTGCAGACTTGGAAACGAGGGAGAATAGAACCGGAAGTTAAGCGTGCTCAGGCTGGGGGAGTGGGAGGATGGATGACCGTTCGGGAAGTTAGATGATTAGGAATGATGAGGGGTGATTAGAGATTAGAGGATAAATTGAGCAGTGATGAGGGGTGGTGATTAGAGATTAGAGGTTAAAATAATTTAGAAATTTGAAAATAAAAAAATTCCAAAAAAAAATTCAAAAAATAAAATCATAAAGGTGGAGCTCCACGTGGCCGCGACCTTTAGTCCCGGTTCCAGTTTGAACCGGGACTAAAGGGGGGAGGCATTAGTCACGACCCTTTAGTCCCGGTTCAAGAACCGGGACTAAAGGCCCTTACGAACCGGGACTGATGCCCCCTTTTCTACTAGTGATACAGCCTAAAGGTTAAATAGCTCCATTTCAAATTTCAATTATATTTGTGAAATGACTACAAATAGAGTAAATGACTTACATATAACAAACGAAGCACAAAATACCAAATTTTGACAAATAACATGTAATGATGTATGTTTAGTGTATGAAATATATCAAGGTCAACGGACGAAGCAGCGGTCACTTCACCTTCAAATCTAACCAGTTGTATCTCAAAACCTAGATTCTTCCTCCTGCCCGGGTTTCTATGCAGGCTACGTCACAACTTTTCTTCTCATGTATAAGACCTAAACATATATATATCCAACAATACAAATAGCATTTTTAAACACAATTTTGCCACTTTCTTAGTGGATACACATATATAATGCGGTGCACATCTACAGAGAGATGAATGCCAGTTAGCTGACAAAAGCTACAGTGCTTAACTTCACGATTCTCTTTGTACTCAAAACAGAACAGGGCCCCCAAAACACGAGGACGATGCGCCAACCTTCACTGTGGCATCGCCCACGGCGCGACAAGACACCTGGGGTGGACTACACACAATCATGGGGATCTTACGCTAGTGAATGGACAACATCTCCAGAGGGGTAGATGCATAGTGACAACATAGTCCATGATACATGATAGAATCAGAACACTGACCACTGAACCTTCATTTGTGAAGAACAACTTTTGAGATAAGATGGATTGACGGGAATTAAATTCCACCATCCCAGAACTCCTCATGGGTCTTGTAAACGCTCTGTGGATTAATCATAAAGTCGCCTCTCAACAGCCTAGCCTAAAGACAACAAGATAAAAATCATCAGATGCGCTCACTTTTTCCTGTGAAATGGTCTTAAAGGGGAAAAAAGTGGATGCAAATTAACAATGAATCAATGAATGAATAGTTGAAAGACCTTCTAGAAATTTCTGTTACGCAGAAACTCACCCACTTCATAAAGCATGTCATGGTATTATAATTTCTGCTGCTACTAATATTGTTCTAGAAAACAATTGATGACAGGGGCTGATCGACATGACTTTTGCTTATCTTAGGTGGATTCATACCAAAAAGAGCTATTTATATGAACAATAGGGCTAAGGACACATAGTTGTGCCCTATGTAGCAAGCAAAAGAGAACATCAGATATCGATAGTATGAATTTGGTTTTACCCAGGTTAACTAATAGTCTAATACTGCCACGAATAACAGTGAATAAAACGCCATTATTAGAATCATGTCACGATACACTGGTGCTCCAGTCTCCGAAAGCACAAAAACGAACAAATGCTACCTCAACCTAGCAATTTAGCATGCTCCGAGAGATTCGTTCATCTGTCATCCTATAAAGACCTTTAATTATCAATAATAAATATCATTGATTTATCCTCATTAAAGTATAGCTAAGCTTACCTGCTGAATCTCTGAGAACTTTGCAAGCACATCATCTTGAATTGTCCAATCGTAAACATCGAGGTTTTTCTTTATCCTTTCTTGATTTGTGCTCTTTGGTAGTACACTGTGACCCATCTGGATGTTCCAGAGCAGAGCCACTTGTCCAGTTGTCTTGCCGAGTTTCTCAGCTATTGAGATAATCATTGGTTCTTTAAGGACGTTACCATTCATCCAAGTAGTACCAGGTGAACCTAGTGGTGAGTAAGCCTGCCAAAACATACGGGTGAGAAAAGAATGATAACAACAACAACAAAGTATTCCGCAAAAGCAATCCAGCTTCTTTAGTGATAAATAACACACAAGACAATCACACTAACTGTCTAATATAGAAATAGTTGAGGTCATCAGACTTACACTAAGATGAACTCCAGTTGACTGACAAAAGTTGTGGAGCTTAGTTTGCTGCCAACCAGGATGACATTCCACCTGATTAACAGCAGGAGGTACACGAGCTACAGAAAGCAAGTCACCCAACTTCTTTGATGAGAAGTTGCTCACACCAATCGCGCGAGCTTTGCCAGCATGATGTAACTTTTCCATTGCCCCCCAAGTAACAGGGATGTTAGGTGTAACAAAGTTTTCAGGGCTATGGTCTTTTCCCCTCTTGACACTAAATGGGCAATGGATCTACAAACACACAGAGGATCAGAGATTTTAACCAAATCATTTGTAAACATCATACTAAACATTTCCAACACGTAATCATGTAACGCTAAGTTGAAGGTACCAGAACCAGAAGAATATGTTGAACAACACAAGAGATAAAAACTCATTGAACATACATAATCTTATCTGCAATGTATTCAAAGTACCAAGAACGAACAACAGAAGTGATCTTGAAATAATTGAGAATCTAACACCGGAAATCAGTAGCACCAACATTATGCATATCAAATAAGATGGAACAACGTCCATCAATGTAATATAGCTAACTGAATAGAAAGAATTCTAATAGGACACATGTATTAAAAAGTGGCACAGAACCATATGCCCAGTTTCCACTCTAAATAGCATAGCAATAGAACCCAATAGACATGCATGGATACATAACCTTTTCATTAACTGTGATTAAAATTTATGCATAATATAGACTAGATGAGTGCTCATTTCTTGCTGAGGAGACTTTCTAACTAAATGATAACATACAAAAGTAGTGCCATCGGTACACATAAAAGTGATATATTAATGTTCTAAAGACCAGACTAGAGGAAGTCAGGTACTGAAATATTATTGTAAATAGGAGGTGCTCACAAGATAAAGATCCAAGTAATCAAGCTGTAAATCATTGAGGCTTTTATTTAGTGCCTCTGGCACATCTTCAGGAGCGTGACAGTCATTCCTGAAAAATTAAGGCATCCAAAGTAAGTTAGATGTGAACTACTAAAAGCTTAAAATACGCATCTATACTCGACTAGAGTTGCAGAGAGACAGAATTACTAAGATATCCAGAGATTTGGGGTTACCATAGCTTAGAGGTGATAAACAGATCTTCACGCTTCACTATACCCTCTTCAAATAGTGTCTTCAGCGCCAAACCAATCTGGATAATGCAAATAATTGAAATCAGGCCTCCACTACTCCCGTTGTTATGTAGCACGAATCCAGAAGATACTGCAGGCAGCGTATGTCAATTTGCCACTGATATTGCAAAGTAGTCCTGAATTAATCTCGCATAGTTAAATGTTCGAAAGGGATGGACAGAAGAAATACCCAGTTGGATAGGAGAAATGTCCAGAATTCCACTGCTTATCACTATGCTTTTCTGGTTGCGTTTGCAAGGGCAGCCGATCATGCGCACATTAAAAAACATACTGGACTTACCAGAAGGTGCTTTTTTACGGTGGACTGAACAAAAAGAAATCTTTACAGGTAGCTGGTTGATTTGACAGTAGTTTTACCTCCTTCTCATTGCCATATTCGCTGGCGCAATCGATGTGTCGGTAACCCGCCTGCACGATCCGGAAGCAATTATGAAACAAAATATTCACGATCTCATCAAAGAAAAAACAAGGAAACAAGACAGTACGAAGGGATAGATAGAGGGTGAAAAACATGCCATCAGGATGGTGAAGCGAGAGATGAGAAAAATAAATAGTTGGGGGTTTGTGCGTACCTTGACGGCGGCGTAGACAGTGGTGCCGACGATGCCAGGGTCGGCCTGCCAGGTGCCGAGCCCCACCGAGGGCATCCGGTCTCCCGTGTTGAGTAGGAAGTGCCTCGCCATAGCCGCCTCTCTCTCTATCTCCCACACGGCACCAACAGGGGATTGTGGAAGCAGCAGAGGTTGATATGCTAGGAGAGGGGGTGATTGTACGTATGATATAACGAACTATCCGGCTTTTTGTAACTTATTGTAAGACCAGTCTTGCAATAAGTGAGAAAAGCAGCAGGGGTGGGTAGGAAAGGGGGTGATTGGGGAAGTAGCTTGCAGACAAGTCTTTGACTTTCATGATAGCTCGGTAACAATAGTTTAACCTCCAAGGAAAACGATGTCCTACCGAAGAAGGAGCACGTTGATCACTTACAAATTTTGTGACGTGGTGTTGTGAGGAAATACCTCCTACTTGGCTCTTCCCTTCCATGTTTAGTTGAGACGTCTCTCTCACTTGATAGAAATTTGTCTCTGGTCAATAAACTATCTCATCTGACGTCCAAACTACATTGTCAATAGAACTTATCTAATACTAGTACCTTTGTGGTGGAACACTGTATTCATAAACCAAACATACCCTACTTGCTTCGATCACTTTTTCCCAAAAAAAATTATGGCTAGCTAGCTAAAGGCTGGAGGCGGCGACACATGACGACGGTGATCCAGTGGCAAGGACCGGCGGGATCCCGGCGGTGTGAGTGGCGGCGGCGACAGTCGAGGTGCTGTCACCTCACGTCGAAGGCGCCCCATGGTGACGGCCGGGTTCGCGGATCTCGCCCGATCCAGATAGGCTTCGGCGGGCCAGCGGCTCGGTTCTGCGGCAATGGGCTAGCATGGTAGGCCTGACCATGCCGGCTGCTTAGGCATCGTGGTGGTGCCGTGGCCGGTCAAGCGGCGACGGCTGGAATCTTTTCATTTAGTCCCCGTCAGAGAAGGTGGCGATCCGTGTACAAGACACTTGATGGAGGTTCTTTGAACTAACCTGGATGAAAACCTGCTCTCGGCTAGCTGCCAAGGCCGGCGATGGCGGCGCTCTTGGGTGTCATTCCCTCCTTGAAGGCGTCGTTGTTGAGAAGTTCCAGACCACAGTCTGCTACCTCCGGGGGAAACCCTAGATCAGTAGATTGTATAATGCGGCGCTCTTATATATGTCGTTTTCCCCTTGGGAGCATCATTCTTGGAGGTGTACACTTGCTCGAGGGACCATTGGACGACATCTTTGGTGGAGCGGTGCTTCGTCCTACACATTGATGGCTGGGATCTCGGCGGCGTGCGCAGTGGAGACTCTGCGTCCGATGTGCAGTGATGGACTCACGCAGGAGGACGACGTTGTCTAGCGTCGTGGTGGCGTCTACGGTAGTGAGGCCTGGCAAGGCCGATGCGTCAGTATCTGCTCTGAAGATGGATCAATGGAAGACAGTTGTGACGGCCCTTGCAGCGTAAACATGTGGTGCCCACTGAGAGTGCGCCGGACCGGTAGTCCTGGCATTGTGGCTTGGATGGGGTACCCGGCTTTAGATGTTAGGTTTTGGTGCGATGTCTGTTTGGTATTAGGCTCGTACATTCGGCACCCCTTCATCAAAGGGACAAGAGTAGCGACAGGTGTTACCAAGATGGAGGCTTCTGGCCTACTGATGTATTACTTTCTAAGGTCCTTGCGAATAATAATTAAATGACAACATGCTTCACCCCTATGCAGAGGCCGGGGATATATCCTCCTTTTCTAAAAAGCTAAAGGCGACCTAGGGTCCACCTATCCACCAACCGGCG